GTGAGTAAAAGAGAGAGAGAGAGAGTGAGTGAGAGAGAGAGAGAGTGGAGAGAGAAGAAATTGATACGAATATATGAATGGATAATCCCCTGAGAATGCAGGGGTGTGCAAAATTGTAACTTGCAAGACTTGTTGGGAGAAACTTGCTGAGCGAACGAGATCTACGCCGAATTTTTCGGCATTGAATGGCCGTGAAACTCTGTCTAGGCAGCTTCCCGCCATTAGTGGGATTCTACAAATTCCAGTAGCACCTGTACGAATCAAGTCCCACGCTTCTGCCTATCAGAAGCCAACACCTTGTTGATGCTTCTCTCCGTCTGAATACAAGAGGCAAAAAAGAATGAAACAGAATATTTCTGTGTGCAGGGATATCTTAGATATATTTATAGCTACCTATATATTTAGATAAGAAAAGACTAATACACATACAGATATATATATATATATATATATATATATATATATATATATATATATATATATTATTATGAGTATTATTTTTATTTTTTTTAAATTATAACATAAATATGTTATAAAATGACTACAAAAATAGCCATTTTGTTTCAACACCCTCGGTGTCTTATCAAGTGATGATGTTGAAGATAAAAAAAATGGTTTTAAAATTTCAAATTAATTAACGATCTTTTTCCCATAGCGAAGGATCCTTAATTAATTTGAAACTTTTAAAACCATTTACATATTTATGTTATAATTTTCTTTTTATAAATAATAATTATATCTGCTCTACTTTGTATTGAGCACTCTTTTAAGAATAAAAATTTTGGTTATTGGAATTCATTCCGTATACACCAATTATATACTTGTATATATATATATATATATATATATATATATATACAATATATTTGGTTAGATAGATGTGAGTTTGTGACTCTGAGTTTCACGCTTTACCGATCGTCAGACAAATGATTAATGTTTTAAAAATTTCTTTTTAAAAAATTAAAAAAAAAAAAATTAAAAAACATTAATCAGTTGGATAGATGTGAGTTTGTGACCGGGGTTTCACGCTTTAGCGATCATCAGACAAACTGATTAATTTTAAAAATTTTTAAAACATTAATCAGTTTGTCTGACGATCGCTAAAGCGTGAAACCCAGGGTCACAAACTCACATCTATCCAACCAAATATGTTAGCTCTATCTCTGATATTGAGCGCTTTCTAATAAGTACCGCACATATAATATATAAATAATTATACATATATATATTTATTTATATTTATATACACTTTTCACACACACATATATATATATATATATATATATATATATATATATATATATATATATATATATAATGTCGCTTGAAAGTTTGAAACCTGCCAAGCATAGGCATTTTTATTGTGAAAACATTTTAAATGAACCACTTGAATGTGCATCCAAACACCAATTTGAAAAGTAGACCCCCCCCAATTAATGAGCACAAACAAGCATTAAAAAATTATTTTAATTATTTATTTTAAATAGAAAGGGATTTCTTTCTCCAAAACCGAAAGTCTGACATGTGCAAAAATATGCGAACCCCACTATGTATTGTTGAATTCAAGTAGTTAACAAGTGCAGCAGAAATAGATTTGGGTGCATAATTATTCAATTTAGGCTGACCCATGAAACATGACATCCTTAGTAAATTTGGTTAGGCAACATTGATTAAAAGAGCAGGCAAACTAAGCTACTGTTATTCTCCCAAAGATCATCAATGCTGAACAAGTTACTAACCTTTCACAAGTCCAGGGAAAGCTATAAGATCACCTTGCAGCTCTATCCATCCACTGTAAGAAAATTTACAAATTGTGGGCATACGATAAAACTACAACTGTTCGTAGAAGTGGACATCCATTAAAATTATCAGCAAGAAACACTAGAAAAATGTTAAATGGAGCAAAAGCCAAACTACACATCACCTCCAGATAGTTGCAGACCTCTCTGGCAGCATCTGTAGTAAATGTACATGGGTCTACAATCAGACGAAAATTGAATAGATATAATATTCCCTGGAGAGCTACTAGAAGGAAAGTTCTTCTCTCAACGAAAAACAGTGTTGCCTGTTTAAAAGTTTTGCCAGGGAACAGTTGGAGAAACCAGAGGGCCTTCTGCGAGCTATTTCTTTAGACAAATGAATCAAAAATATACCTGATTGGTCACAATCAAATCTGTCATTTTAAAGAAATGCCAACCAAGAAAAAAAAACTTAATTCCATGAAGCATGTGGTGGGGTGGAAATATTAGGACCTGGAGCTGCTTTTCAGCCTCTGGAAACAGAACAAGCTCCATATTATCCAGGCAAATATGAATTCTCAGAGTCTCTTATCAGCAAATCTCTTGATCAGCATCTTTCACTATTTGTCAGGGAGTTGATGCTTGACCGAAAATGGGTTCTCCAATATGACAATGACCCTAATCGTACCAGCAAAGCTATCAAAGAATAGCTTAAAAAGAAGATTCGTATTCTGGTTTGACCAATAGAAATATTTTGGTTTGACCGGAAGCTGGTTATATTTACCAGTTGTCCATCCAATCTCTCACAAGTGGCTGAGTTTTTTTAAAGAATGAACAAAAATTCCTAACAGCAGATACGAGTGACTGGTCAGTGACTACAGAAGGTATATAAATTTAGTTCCCTAAACAATTAGAGAGATCAGCGAACCGTATTTTCCCCTTTCTCCTTCTTATAGAAACAAACACATTCGACTGATGTATGCGTGATATAATTGGTGAGATGCGGACAATGTAACATTGGTATCTATGTATTAAGCACAAGTGTTTAAAGTCGCTTGAGTTCGGAATGATAATTGTCGCCAGAAACATCTAGCTCTCCCCGCTGAAAAGTGATAGTTCCTCGATGTTATTTTCGGACGATAATAAACGCCAGACCTGGATTTTTAAAAAATGTTCTATAGTCAGCCTGATCCTATAAAAAAATCCGTGGTATCACACGACTTAGTGGGTGACAGTATCAGGCAATTATTGCAGATGGGAAAATAATGGTTAGCACTAGAGTTGGACAGTTTAAGACAAGACTGATCTTGAGAGTCAGTTCCACATAATAGTGGTTAGCAGGAAGAAGCTGTTCGAGTGGAACTTACTTCTCAACTATTATACGGAGGAATGGGGGTGATTTGTTACAATGTGAGTGGCATGGCGGCTCCTGGCTGTAGAGGTTAGAATTGGTGGAACCAAGGAATGCAGTTAGTCTGAGGACATTACTTAGAAGAAGCAATAGAGCAGTGAGAAGATGGAAGATGAAAAATAAATTGCCACATACAAGGGATCTAACAGTAGATAGTGAGCCCTGGTCAACTCCCGCCTAAATATGTCAACATTACTCCAGTTGATGTCTGATTTGGCTCTTAGAATACGTGAATTCAAGACAGAATCATACACATCTGAAAGAATGAGTTTATATTGGCGATGCAAGAACAGGAATAATGAAGATAGTAGTCACCAAAAGAAGAGGAAGAGTACCATTTAAATTCAGGTCATATTATCCTTCCTTAATTTCTTATTCATATTCCTGATTTCTTTCCTACTTCAATACTTTAATTTTGTTTCCTTCCTGTTTCTTATCCTTCTGACTTTCCTTATTCCCTTCATTGTCTTCCTTCCTTTCTTCTTCATTCTTTATTTCTTTTCTTTCTACTTGCACCCTAACCTTCCTTCCTTCCTTCCTTCCTTGCTTCCTTTTTATTCTTTCTTTGTCTACTTTCCTTTCCCCTCTTTCTTCAATCTTTACAGTTTTTCGTTTCTTTCTTCCTTCATTCATACCTTCTCCTTCCTTTATTCCTTCCTTCCTTCCTTTTTATTCTTTCATTGTCTACTTTCCTTTCCCCTCTTTCTTCAATCTTTCCAGTTTTTCGTTTCTTTCTTCCTTCATTCATACCTTCTCCTTCCTTTCTTCCTTCCTTCCTTCCTTTTTATTCTTTCTTTGTCTACTTTCCTTTCCCCTCTTTCTTAAATCTTTCCAGTTTTTCGTTTCTTTCTTCCTTCATTCATACCTTCTCCTTCCTTTATTCCTTCCTTCCTTCCTTTTTATTCTTTGTCTACTTTTCTTTCCCCTCTTTCTTCAATCTTTCCAGTTTTTCGTTCCTTTCTTCCTTCATTCATAACTTCTCCTTCCTTTATTCCTTCCTTCCTTTTTATTCTTTCTTTGTCTACTTTCCTTTCCCCTCTTTCTTCAATCTTTCCAGTTTTTCGTTTCTTTCTTCCTTCATTCATAACTTCTCCTTCCTTTATTCCTTCCTTCCTTCCTTTTTATTCTCTCTTTGTCTACTTTCCTTTCCCCTCTTTCTTCAATCTTTCCACTTTTTCGTTTCTTTCTTCCTTCATTCATACCTTCTCCTTCCTTTATTCTTCCTTCCTTCCTTTTTATTCTTTCTTTGTCTACTTTCCTTTCCCCTCTTTCTTCAATCTTTCCAGTTTTTCGTTTCTTTCTTCCTTCATTCATACCTTCTCCTTCCTTTATTCCTTCCTTCCTTCCTTTTTATTCTTTCTTTGTCTACTTTCCTTTCCCCTCTTTCTTCAATCTTTCCAGTTTTTCGTTTCTTTCTTCCTTCATTCATACCTTCTCCTTCCTTTATTCCTTCCTTCCTTCCTTTTTTTATTCTTTCTTTGTCTACTTTCCTTTCCCTCTTTCTTCAATCTTTCCAGTTTTTCGTTTCTTTCTTCCTTCATTCATACCTTCTCTTTCCTTTATTCCTTCCTTCCTTTTTATTCTTTCTTTGTCTACTTTTCTTTCCTCTCTTTCTTCAATCTTTCCAGTTTTTCGTTCCTTTCTTCCTTCATTCATACCTTCTCCTTCCTTTATTCCTTCCTTCCTTCCTTTTTATTCTTTGTCTTCTTTCCTTTCCCCTCTTTCTTCAATCTTTCCAGTTTTTCGTTTCTTTCTTCCTTCATTCATACCTTCTCCTTCCTTTATTCCTTCCTTCCTTTTTATTCTTTCTTTGTCTACTTTCCTTTCCCCTCTTTCTTCAATCTTTCCAGTTTTTCGTTTCTTTCTTCCTTCATTCATACCTTCTCCTTCCTTTATTCCTTCCTTCCTTCCTTTTTATTCTTTCCTTGTCTATTTTCCTTTCCTCTCTTTCTTTAATCGTTCCAGTTTTTCGTTTCTTCCTTCCTTCATTCATACCTTCTCCTTCCTTTCTTCCTTCCTACCTTCCTTCCTTCCTTCTTTTCTTTCCTTTCTCCCTTCAATCTTTCGTTCTTCATTTCTTCCTGCTTGTATCATATTCTTTCTTTCTTTCTTTCTTTCTTTCTTTCTTTCTTTCTTCATTCATTCATTGTACTCCTTTGCTTCCTACCTTCATGCATTAATTTCTTGTTCTTTCTACCATTTCCATTCCTTCCTTCCTTCCTTCATTCATTCGTTTCTTGTCCTTCCTACATACATTCCAACCTTTCTTCCTTCATTTCTGTTCCTTCCTTCATTACCTCCTACCTTCTATCCTTCCAACTTGCTTCCTTCCTTCATTCATTTCTTCTCTTTCCTTCCTTCCTTCCTTCCTTCCTTCATACTTTCTTTACCTACCTCCCTTTTTCTTTCTTTCATCAATCTTTCAAGTTATTTATTTCTTCTTGCCAGTATCATATTCTTCTTCATATTATTTCTTTCTTTCTTTCTTTCTTCGTTCATTCATTCATTCCTTGTACTCCTTTACCTAATACCTTCATAATTCTTTGTTCTTTCTACCGTTTCTATTCCTTCATTAATTCCCTGTCTTTCCTTACTTCATTCATTCATTAATTTATTCCTTGTTCTTCCTTCCTTCATTTCTGGTCGTTACTTCCTACCTTCTTTCCGTCCTTCCTAACTTGCTTCATTTCTTCATTCTTTCACATCCTTCATTGTCCTTCGAAACTTCTTTATTCATTCATTCCTTAACATTCCTACCTTTATTCCTTGTTTCGTCTCTTCTTTCTTTCATTCATTCATTCATTCATCGAATCAATGTCTTTCCTACTCTCTTTCTTTCTTCATTCATTCTCATCCTTCCTTCATTCATTCATTTATTAAATCATTCCTTGCTCTTCCTACCTATATTGCTTCATTCATCCTTTTTCCTTCCTAACTTTTTTCATCCCTTCTTTCCTTCCTTCATTCATTACTTGTCCTTCCTACATTAATTATTTACTTCACTTCTCCCTTCCTTGCCTCATTCATTTATTCCTCTTTCTTCCTACATTCATTCGTTCGTTACATCATTCACACCTAGTCTTTCGTTCGCTTCTTCCTTCCATCCTTCCTTCCTTCCTTTCTTCCTTCCTTCATTCATTCATTCATTCATTCATTTATACATTTCTTGTCCTTTCTACATTCCCTCCTTCATTCTTCCATTTCTTTCTTCTTTCCTTCCTTCATTCATTCATCATCCTTCCATCATTCCTTTTCTTTTCTTACTTTCGTCCTTCCTTCCTTTTGATCTCACTTTTTATCCCTTTTTTTACCTCAGTTATTCTTTTAAATCTAACTTTATTGATTTATTTTTTTCTGGAGCTTGCAAATTACCTTTGCCCAAAGAAAATCAATCTTTTTTTCTTTTAAAATGAGCGGCCATCATACATAATTCATTTGGAATATTTTTAACTTAATTTCAGTTGCCGAATAAAAGCGAATCCCACTATCCAGTTATTTAAAATTCGTGTAAATACACAGAATTCTATTAACATACAGAATGATTTCTTTTTACGCCTATATATATATATATATATATATATATATATATAATAAAATAGCTATACTCGTCTGGAAAATCCTTAGGTGTTTTGGCTTGTAAATGAATAAAACAATGCCTAAGGAAAATAAGGCTCTTTAGGTTCATAGTTATATATATATATATATATATATATATATATATATATATATATATGTATTATTTTCCCTAAATAAAATAAAATAAAAAAATTAAAAAATTATATTATTATGCTCTATTGTTTGAATGGAGCACTGTTTGTTTTAAATATTTTTTTTAAATACACATTTTCATCAGAGCTAGCAAAACTGTGAATTTCATACACAACGCAAGAAAAATAATCCCTTGGAACGCCATAGCTTATATCAAATTTCGCTTAAGATGTTGCATGCACATGAAACCAGATTAAACAATGAAAATTAAACAACAGAAAAGAAAACAACAGAAATTTTTTCTCCTTTTTCTTCATATCGCATTCTCAGATGAAGCTTTAATAAAAGATTAATAAACGTTTCCTTTTTTTCACTAATATATATATATATATATATATATATATATATATATATATATATATATATATATATATATATATATATATAATTGATTCAGTTATGAAATTTTCTGCGATAATTTTAAGTGGCACTTAAGAGCCCTAGTGATTTACAAAGGAGGCCTCATATGGAGCAAGAGTGAGGATTGTGAGATGAGATCACTGTTAGATTGGCTGACGTTTTAGATCTTACTCTCACTTCTTGAAAATGATTCAGACAAACAGATTGAAAACTACTGAGTCCCCTAAAACACATTGATCTCCATTCTACCCGCTCCAGGACTAGGCGCTCAAGGGTGTTATGTGGTAAGTTTACAGCTGACAAGTTGGTTTTCAGCTTGTTTTTGTATCTTAGCCATAGGCAGACTACATTCCTGTAGCGCTGATCTAACTGGCTGTACATTAGGATCTTGGGTATCCTGTCATCAAACATTCTCAAGACATGACCAGTACACCGTAACTGAGACTGTATGAGAAAAGTCTCGATTCCTCCAATATTACACCTGTTAAACAGGTCTACGTTAGATTGAAGCTTAACTCCACAGATTGCACGCAGACAGCTTTTATGGAAAACATCCAGCAACAAGAAAAATATATAGTATAGACTTAAGCATTAACAGTGATCTCATCAATGTTACAGTATTGGGGAGTCATGTAAATTCTAGAGCGTTACAATGGGGGGGGGTCCGATGAGAAAAAGGGCGTGTTCATTCTACCAACCCTAAATGTGCCTCCCCACCTCTTCGTCATTCATTAGAATTACAACATAGACTGTCAAATTTATTCATAACGCCAATCCCAATGTAGAGGGCAGCATTAATAAATAAATTAAAAAAAAATAATTAACCAAAAAATTTCGTTGCTCCTATATACGGGGGTAAGGCAATTTTTTTTTTTTTTTTTTTTTTAAGCATTGTGCCCCAAGCAAGGCGTGAAGCCACTGGGGTGCAGGGGGTTGTGGAAGATTTGGAGCGAGAGCAGATAAGAGTGATAGGAGAAAGGAAGAGGAGAAGGATAGTGGGTAGATCAAGGCAACTGAGATGTCGATTGACATTACATTTGAATAGTTGGAGATTATAGCTCTCAGGGAAACAGTAATTCGGAAGGGTGTTCCACAGGCAAGAGGTGCGAGGTATGAAGCTATTGGAGTAGAAGAGACGGCTACATTTAAAAATTTCTACTGTGTAAGGGTGAGAGCGGGATGCCAGCCTCGTAGGGCGCTTGAATTCATCGAGTCTGGGAACCAGAGAGAGCAGCTCATCGGAGCAATTACCATGAAAGTATTTGTAGAAAAGACAGAGAGAGGCGACGGCGCGTCTGTGAGAGAGTGGCTGCAAACAAGACGCTAGATCAGGGCCAATTAGATTACATATCCGTCTCTGGATCTTGTCAAGAACTCCGAGGTAAGCAGAAGGTGTTCCAGCCCGTATATGGCAGCAATAATCCATGCAAGGGCGAATGGCTGTTTTGTATATTTGAAGTATCGATTCAGGGGAGAAAAATCTCCTGGCGCGGCACAGAGAGCCAACTTTCCTCGCGGTGGAAGAAGTAATTGACTCAATGTATTTGTTCCATCTCAGGTCAGCAGTCAGCGTGAGGCCGAGCAGACGCAGGGAGTTGCTCTCAGGAAGTTGACTATCAGACATTTTAATGGGGGGCAGGGAAGGATCTCTATGGTGGTTAATGGAGAGTAATTTAGTTTTTGTGGCGTTTAAGTTGACCAGCCAATTCTTGCCCCAGTTAACCGATTGGAGGTCCATTTCAAGACGCACGGCAAGGTTAGTTTTGTCGCCGACACTAGATTTGTTTTTGAGGCAGGAGTAAATTGTAGTGGCGTCTGCATAGATGTCGACTTGGGAATCTATAGCTTCAGGAAGGTCATTGATGAAAATAAGGAAAAGAGTGGGGCCAAGGCTGGAGCCTTGGGGAACACCTGCGTTAGTGGGATAGGAACTGGAGGAGAATCCGTTGAGAACGACCTTCAATTCTCGGTTGGACAGGAATGATTGTATTAGATCAAACAGTTGACCAGTAACACCATACCCCCTGGAGCTTACGAAGAAGGCCGGCGTGCCAAACCCTATCGAATGCTTTGAGATGTCGAGGCCACAGCACGAGCCTCACCGTTATTTTGAAGGGCTTGGTAGACGGTTTCAGTGATGGCCGTAAGCACATCAGCTGTAGATCGGGCGTAGCGGAAACCATATTGCTTGTCTGAGAGCAGCACACACCATCGAGATTAATGGATAGGTCGAAGAGTTCCTCTTGAGTTGCATCTGGGGTCAGCAGACCTCACACCCTTGGATTGTTTTTACTTGTGGCCATTTGCAATCAGTTGTTTATCTGACGCTCCCAAGAAATATTGAGGTACTTAAAGAAAGGATGAAATATAAATGCTCTAAAATGCCTGAAGATACTAGGTGACATGTTGATGAATTATGCCGGCCCAGAATTGAAATATGTTTTGAAAAAGGAGGCAGACATTTTGAACAGCACATATAATGATTAAATAACTAGGAAATAAAAATATTCATGTGCCATTCTACTTTTAGTAAATGATCCCTATGGTATATGACTTTTACCTCATTCTGTATGCATGCATACTCACAGTCTTCATACATAGATGTTCAGAGCTGGGGAATATGGTGGTTATCAGACTTGGAGAAAAACCAAAAAACTGCTGCACAAGCCATGATCACTGATAGAACTTATGGTGTGGTGAGATGACCACACTCTACACACTTCCCTTCCAAGCGCTACTATAAACAATGGAAATAAGCAAGAACGTTATAACTTAGTGTGTAACAGTTCAATGTCTATCTTTGCCAAGCGAATTCACTCTGCGTACTTTAGCTCCATTATCATAGTAACAGTCACAATGTTTTTGATCAGAGCTTGTGTGTGTGTATATATATATATATATATATATATATATATATTAAGAAATGGACAAGGTCCGACAATTTATTTATTAAAGACATATTTTTATGTTTAACGTTGTTATTTTATAGATACAAGTATTTAAGCAAATGCTCTGTTTATGATAAACAGTATTAAATAACATTTACCGGCCT